TTAAAAACAATAAATCAAACCCTGATTTATAGCATCAGCTGACTTGTAAGGTGTAAATGCCCCCACTGAAAGCTTAATAATTGACTCACAGGAGTTAATCCAAGCCAGCTCCAGGACACCACTGGGAGCGGGTCAAGGAAGACTTCATGGATACATTAATACTTGAATTATGCCTTCAAAGAAGGAGGGAACCTCAACAGGCCAAGAATGAGGGTGAGGGGGGAGAATCCATTCTAGACAAGAGGCAAGTTGTGAGAAGAGAGCAGAGGACTGAGAGTAAGTCGCCTGAGTACTCTGAGAGTAGTTAATTAACTAGAACAGAGAAAAGGAATGGAAGCAGTACAAGAAAGGGCTGGAGTTTAGACTTTATTTCACAGGAACTGGTGAGCCTACGAAGGCTTTTGAAGAGAGGAGTAACACCATTAGAAGAACATATTAGAAATAATATGCAAGCAGCAATATGGAAGGTGAATTGGGAAGGACAGAGACTGTGGGCTGAGTTAGGAACCTATTAAAATAGCCCACGAAGGGAAGCAGCTAGGTGGTGCAGTAGCTAGAACACCTGCCCTGAAGTCAAGAGGACCTGAGTTCAAATTTGGCCTCAGACCAAACACTTGATACTAGCTGTGTGACCCTGAGCAAGTCACTTAACCCCAATTGCCTAAAAATAAATAAATAAAATAGTCCAGGAAGAACTTCATAGTAGCACACTGAGTGGCAAAGTAGGTAGCTATCTATGCAGTGTTTTTCCAGGCTTCATGAAGGCCCCCTAACTAAAATTGTACCTTTAGGAATAAATTCCTAAAATTCCATCATTGGAGTTTCATTTCTTTGGCTTCAGTAAAATAGGAGTTTGATCCTCCGTGAAAGAGTAAATCCTTCAGGTGGGGTCACATTAAATAATTTATACATCAGAGTAAATAGCCAGAAACAATCCTTTCCAAATGCCTGCTGAAAAATCCCCTAAGATGTCCCTTTGGAACTTCAAACTCAACATGACTGAAAAAAAGAACTCTTCTACCCCTAAACCTGCCCCTCCCCCCCAACTTCCCAACTTCTTAATAATCCTATCTCCTATTCCCTCAAAACCTCAAAAACCTGAGTCATCTTTGACACTTCCCGTTGCCTCATCCCATACTCCACACATGCAATCAGTTAACTAACATCTCCCCCAATATCAATCACATCTGTATGTTCTTTTACAACCACCTTCACCTTTCTATTTTCTTCTTTCCTTCTTTCTTTCTTTCTTCCTTTCTTTCTTTCCTGGCAGCTCTGTTCCTAGCTCCACTCTTCTCCCCATCCCACCTCTGTAGGTGAGGAGAGTGAGGCCCAGACAAGTAGATTGCCATGATCATAGGACCATTTTGTAGCACAGTAAAGAACAGAACCAGGTGTCTTATATCCCCAAGTTGTTGTTTGTTTGTTTTGCTGTATCAAAACTGAGAAGTATGGAGGTTATAGGTTCAAGGCCTAGGTTTCTGGGAGGACCACAAGGTAGATCCACCTTCAGTCAGTCCAAAAGTCAGCCAACTATAGGTCAAAAAGCATTTATTAAGTATTACTATGTGCTAGGCACAGTGCTAAACACTGAGAACACCAAAAAAGGCAAAAACATTGTTCCTGCCCTCACAGAGCCCACATTCTAATAGGAGAATCAATGTGCAGTCACTGTCTACATACATACATGACACAGACTGTAAATGTCATGTATCATGTAGATGATGATTTGCTCACTGGCTTCGCTATTAGAATGTGAACTCCTTAAAGGGGGGAGGGGAGGGATTAGGACTGCTGATACAGATCTAAGAATCATCTGCATAGAGATGATAATGAAGCCCTTGGCTGCTAATGAGATTAATAAGCAAGACAGTATAAAGCAGAGGTGTCAAACATGCCACCTATGAGCAGCATGTGACCCACAACACAAATGGGTGAAGCCCAAAGTAGAAATGTATTGGGAAAATATTTAGCAAAATAAATGAAAATTCATTAAAATATAGATAATTTTACATTTTAAAACTAAGTTAATGTGTGGCCTGTAGGGATGCTTATGTGTGGTTTAGTGGTCCCTGTTTCAATTTCAGTGTGATACCCCTGGTCTAGAGGGAGAAGAGAGCCCAGGACAGGCCTTTGGGGGACACCTGTGGTTAGTGGGCATGACCTGGAAGAAAGTCCAGCAAAGTATACTGAGAAGAAGCAGTCTGATAGGTTGGAGGAGAATGGTAACAGAAGAGTGTAGCCAGCGCAGACATGGCCTCAGAAAGAAATGAGCAGGGGGTGTAGGGGGAGAAGACTAGGCAGTCATGGTAAGAACAAAATACAGTTAGGAGTTATAAGGATTAGGAAAAGATGAAATTATAAAAATTGTGATCAGATAAAGGAATTTCAGCGTTTTTGAACAGGGAATACCTTGTACAGTCAAGGGAACCAAGTTGGAGATCGTGTTCTGTCCGATCAGCATTGAATCTTTATAGATTCAATAGATTTAAAATAGATTTAAAGTCCATGGACTTTAGGAAGAAGGATTGCATGCCCAAAGGCTTTCACTGGAAGACCAATCATGTTAGACACTCTTATCAACAAGTGGGACCCTGGACTAATCTAGCATCTTCATTGTACAGGTGAGGAAACCGAGGCACCAGGGAGGTCAGGTAATCAGAATAATACATAGCAAGTACCATACTATATGCCAGGCACCATGCTAAGCACTTCACAAATACTATCTCGTTTGTAACTCACAAAAGCCCTGAGAGGTATTGTCATTACCCGAATTTTACAGATGAAGAAACTCAAGCAAATAGAAGTTAAATGACTTGTCTAGGATCACACACAAATCTGAAGTCAGATTTGAACTGAGGTCTTCCTGACTCCAGGCCTTGAACTTTACCCACTGGACTACCTAGATGCCCCATTTGTTCAGCTTCAAAAGGCTGGTAAATACAATCTAAGTCTCCTTATTCCTAATCCAGGGATCCTTCTGGCAGAAACTGATTGCCTGGTCTTCTTTCAATTACAGGTTATACAAAGAAGTCCCTGCCTTCAGAAACTAGCAAGAAGACGGTCCATTAGATTCTTTTTCTGGGACCACTGCTAAGGGACCCCGTTTTCTTATCTCCTCACCCTCCATTGTTTGTTTCTTTCTGCTCTCATGTAACCCCCAAAGATACCAGCAGAAAAGGAAAGAGGAGAGGTCCCCTTTTCTCCTGTGGGCTTTCATTTCAAACACTAATTGTGAGACACTTAGAAAAGACACTCTCCTCCTCCCCCCACCCCCACTTCACCCCCCCAGTAAAGACTAAACAATCTGATCGATATAGGAGAAAGGGTTCAGGACTTCTGAGTTGGACAAACTGGATCACAGACATTCTCGACCCATGGGAGAGAGGCTAACAAAGAAAGCTGAGATTAGGGAGATACAAGTAAAGTTAACCAGAGGCTTTATCTTTGAGAGTCAAACTTGACAAAGGATTATTTGGTCCCATACAAATGGTAACCCCTGGCCCCGCCTGTGAGGAACCCGGGAGAAAGAGACCACCCAGCAAGTCAGGTCCCCACTGGTGCAGCACCTAGGAGGGACCAGACCCTAGCCATAGCCACTTCAGACATTCTGCCTTCTTCCGTTGCTTTGATTTTTTTCCCCTAAGGTTTGGGGAAACTGTCATGTGTTCAAGTCTCTCCCTAGTTTCCTTCACTCAAAACAAATTCCCTTCTTCCTAATAACCAAGTATCCTAGAACAGCATAGAGGGTGTGGTGCAGGCAGTGTGCACTATAACTCAGACATAGGGCCCCTATGGGGGCTCCCAGTGAGCTCTTGGCCAGAGAGGTGCTCAGGGAAGATGAGGAGAAGTAAAAAGTAGACAGACCTCCCATAGGCACCACGGTCCCCGAATTCCTTTCCCTCCACATCCCCTTAGCCCACCCCCACCACGGTATCTGGGCCATGAAGAGTCCAAAGCCTATGGGGCCCAGCTTTGCCTGGCTTAACCCAGCCAGGCCTCTGCTAGCAGTGAAGCTTTGGGGCAGGGCTTCCATGACCTCACTGCAATAGTGTCCTGCAGCCGGGCCAGGAGGAGGAGAAAACAAACACTGAAAAGCTCCCCCCCTACCCCCCACCCCCAGAAATCCCAGCTGCTGGCAGAAGGAGGCCCAGCCGGCTCCAGGCTCCAGGCTCCAGTCTCTAGGCTGGGTCTGGGCACTGAGCCCAGCTCAGGAGGCCTGAACAGAATTTAAAAGCATTCAATTTCCCCCTGGAATTCCAAGGATTGCTTAACATTCCTTTGACCCCCGGGGCTCCAGTTTGGCAGGAGGTGCTAGGGGGCTGGGGAGTCAGAGGCTGTGGGGGCTGCAGTCTGGACCAAGGGTTATCAGGGAACAACCCCTCCCCAATCACTTCCTTTGGTCTACAAAGGGAGAAGGGAGAGCAGGAGAAGTGGGTGACAACCTGCTGGCCAGAGTCAAAGAGCAGGGTCCCCAGGGATGGGGGGGAGGAGGGATTGACAACCCAATAGGTGATAGACCAGGACCTGATTGTAGGGTGGGTGGGCTTAGAGGGAATGGGGGAAGGGAACAAAAAAAGAGATCTCCACTGTTTCCATAGTAACTGGAGCTAGGTTGGAAAAGGGAGTGAAGGACTTCTGTCTTTAAGAGATGATTAATTATAAACCCGAGTTTAATTTTATTAATGAGTTTATACTAATATCTCTCTGAGCCTCACTTACCTCATACATAAAATGGGGACAATAGTACTTTCATTACCTACATTATGGGGTGAAAGAGGTTATTGTAAATACAAGCTATGACCTGAGTTTGAATCCTAGCTCTTTCACTTATGATCTGTGTGATCTTGAGCAAATCCTGTCTCTAGGCCTCAGTTCTCCCATCTGTAAAATGAAGGAGTAAGACCCAATGGCTTCTGAGGTTCCTTCTAGGTTCTCACTCTTTCTATCATCCCTGTGATCTCCCACTCCTCGGTCAGGTCCCAGGATTTAGTACTCACACTCTCCGGCTCAGTTCCCAAATCCTGTCTCAATGGGATCTGGGTCAGGTCACCACAGGCACTCTGTCTTTCCATTTCTATTTCAACAAAAACTCATTAAAATGAGATTAGGCAGCCCACTAGATAACATGCACACATTCCGTGTCAATTCTCAAGCATCCACTCTTATGGGCTATCTTCAGTGACTTCCTCCTACCTAGAATCCAGCTGGGTCTTATCCATAGCAGAGTTGATCTGAGGGGCCCCAGGGTCAGATACAAGGGATATGTGTACAGGATTGTGTATGTGTATCTGGGTGTGTCTCTATGTACTAAGTAGACATACAGTTTGGACTGTGATGAAACAATGCCTCTCATTCTCTTCTTGTCCATAGATGTTATCTGTGTTAATATCACTATATTGTAACATAAATAATGGAGTACTGTAAATTTGTAACATAACTTTTGGACAGCTTCTTCGATGGGGAATGAGTCATTAGCCTTTGAAGGTAGGAAAATTGGTAACTAGTCCAGCAGGTGAAGTAAGAAGGGCCAGGAGTTTTGAAGCTCCCAAAGAAGATGTGCAGAAGTGGTTCAGTCATTAAGAACTATTAAGACCTAGGTTAGGCTGCACCTAGTGATGGAGCAGCTTGGAATCTGGAGTCAGAGGTCCTTGGTTGGACTTCCTGCTCTGTTCCCTGCCAGTGAGTACTACCTTTGTGGTTGGGTCCTTTCCAGTTCTGTATTGGTGAACAAGACACTCCATCTCTTGGCTCCCAGAATTCTCTCTGGCTGTCCCCCATGCCTGGAGTGCTCCCCCTCCTCCCCTCTGCCTATTGACCTCCCTGGCTGCCTTGAAGTCCCAATGAGAATCTCATCTTTAACTGGAAGCCTTTCCTAACCCCTTGATATCCTTGCTTTTCCTTTGTTAATTATTATCCTATTTATCCTGTATATATTGCTTTGTATAGCTTACTTTGTATAAATTTGTTTGTATGTCTTCCCCATTAGATCCTTGAGGACAGGCACTGTCTTTTGCTTCTTTTTGCATCACTATCACTTAGCACCGTGCATAACACTCACCTAATTCATAGTAGGCACTTAGTAAACATTTACTGATTGATTGGCGATCCTAATACACTCTGATGTATAATTAGAAAGTAAGGTAGCCTAGACCTTGGAAGAGAAGGCTCAAGAGTGAGGAAAGAGTGGGTACAGCGCTGGGCCTTGGAGTCAGGAGGACCTGAGTTCAAATTCAGTCTCAAACACTTGACACTTACTAGCTCTGTGACCCTGAGCAAATCACTTAATCCCATTGCCTACCCCCCCAAAAAAAAAGTGAGGGAAGGTCCTTGTAGAAGTCAGGTAGGATTAACTGAAGAAGAGAGATTTGTAAATGTGAAAATTCCAAGTCTTCTGTATTGATTTATTTGATTTTGTTCTTGAGTCGTGTCTGACTCTCTGTGACCTCATTTTGGGGTTTTCTTGACAAAGATTTTGGAGTGGTTTGTCTTTTCCTTCTCCCAGCTCATTTTACAGAGAGGAAACTGAGGCAAACAAGGTTAAGTGGCTTGCCTTGGGTCACACAGCTAGTAAGTGTCTGAGGCTGGATTTGAACTTAGGTAGATGAATCTACCTGATTCCAAGCCCAGTGCCCTATCCACTGTGCCACCTAGCTGCCTCAATTTGATTTTACTTTTCTCCTTTAATCCTCTGTGGTGAATTCAGTAGAGAGGTTTCTTGACATCAGTCCCAGAGTCATGATGATAGTTTCAGTTCCCTCAGGGGGATTAATAATAAAAGCACTTTGCAAAATTTGAAGTACTAAATAAACGTTAGCTATTAATATAAAAATTGATTGTTAGTGAGATTTACAAAAGGAAGAAGAAATTCTTCAGGGAAGGCGCTTTAGAGTTAAGCTGTTCTAAGGAAAGTGTGGCCAGCCAGTGAGTAGTATTTCTGACTCTGCAATAGACCTCCCAGTGTAGTTTATTCTCACAGAGCTGTTGTTTAGAGATAATATATGCTTCTATTCCACCCCTCTCCCCCCTGCCCCTGTCATCTATTAGGCATATAATAAAAATGCTTTCCTACTCGAAGTCAGCCAACAAATATTTGTTGAGCACATAATGGCTGAGTTCTATGGAACATTTAAAGGGGACACATGGTGGAGCAGGAAGAATACTAGCCCAAGAGGCAGATCTCTCTGGCCTCGATTTCTTTATCTGTAAAATGAAGGGGACTGAAGCAAATGACATTAAAGGTCCCTTGTGTCTCTAAATTCTATCAATAAGAAGTATAAGAAAATTTTCCCTGTTCTCCAGAAGCTTTCGTTCTTGTCAGGGTGATGCATTGACACATGAGAAAAATAGCTCTGTCAGTCTGTGGCAAGGGCCCAATGAGTGATAGGAAGCTGTAGAAACAGTCAAGAGAGATCAGTCGCTAGGGGCTCAATTGCAAAGGAAAGGCTTCCATTAAAATCCAAGTGTATGATTCAATCTTGACAACTTCAGAATGAGGGGAAGGAAAGGGGCAGATGAGTAAACGGGATCAGATACTGTTTTATGTCATGAGAATTTCTTTTAAAAAGATTTCTTGTTACACTTCCCCTTTAAAGTCTCTATCTTATTCCTATCTTTAAAGTCTCTATTAAATGATACCTATCTTTTCTCTGAATGATTTGAAATCTCTCCTAAAGTCTGGGGTGCACATCTGACTTTGTCCAATGTCATCTCCTTTCGCTATTATGATTTCTCAGAAGACTTGATGACATTCCTCCAAGGTTCTCTTTACCACCCCTTCACCAGCCATTTCTTCCTTGTTGGTTAGAATTGTCCAGAATCTTCCAAATCCAAGTCATCCTTGTTGAATCTTTGATGTTGATTTTTTTCTTAAAGTATTTCCAAACTGGTCCACCAATAGAATGCTGCAGATATACTGCCTCTGGATAACTAGATGGCAAGTAACAGAATTTTTCATGGTACTGTTGTGGATGAGATGAGGAAATTGCATGCTGAAATATGGTAAATATTAAATGAATTTGTTTTTGATAAATAATCCTGACCCCAAAAGTCTTGATTAATGGAGAAATGTCAGCCTGGAGTAAGCTCTCTAGTGGTGTGCCACAGTGCTCAGGCCCTCTTCCACTTTGTATTTTTTTAATCACTTACTTAGATATTGTGACATGATATGACAGAGAAAGCCATGCTCAGCAAATTTCCAGATAACACAAAAGAGGGATAACTAGTGCAAGTCATAAAAATTAGTGTTGAAATTGTTATCTCAACAGGTTAGAATGATGCAATTTAACAGAGATAGATAAAGTATCCTGCATTCAAGTTCCCTAATTACATTGTCCACATACAAGATGGCAGACATGACAGCATTTCATGTTAAAACATCTAGAAGTCTTAGCCAACTCAGTACAAACTGGCAGTAGGACTTAACCACCCAATAAACCAGTTCAATCTTAACCTATATTAATGGAAGTAAACTTTCCAGATAAAATTATAAAATTGGTTGGCATTCATCTAACATTTTAAGGATTGCAAGGCACTTTTACAGACTCTCATTTCGTGCTCTTCACAATCTTGTGAGACAAGTACCATAAATATTATTATTATTCCCCTTTTACTGCTGAAGAAACTGAGTCTCGGAGAGTTTAAGTGACTTGCCCATCATGACAGAGCTATGTATTGTAGTTTTGGGAAGCAGGCTATAACCGCAGGGTATTTCTTGACTTGAAATACAGTGTTCTTTCCATCCTATCAGGCTGCCTCTCCTTACTGTAGGATGCTAGGTAGTGTAGTGGAGAGAACACTGAACCTGGAATCAGGTTCAGACTTTTACCAGCTGTTTAACTCTGGGCAACTCAATTAGAATGAGCTACCTGTGATCTGAGGGCTTCACTATGCTTTTTAAAAGTTTTTATTCTGAACTTAAACACCAAAACAAGAGAGAACATTTTCATATACATGACTCAATAAAAATTAGGAGTGTATTTTAAAATATGAATCTCTATTTCATACTCCTTACTTTAAAAAAAAAAGCCTAAAATAATGTTACTTTCAAAACAATTCTGCTTCTCTGTGCTTCTTTCTGCCCTTCCTTTTGTTCCCTTCTGTGCATTTAAAAGAAATGTTTCAATGACTGTTTTTTGGTTGTTTTTTTTTTTTGGCATTACTAATACTAACCACCCCCTTCCCCTAACTACCTAATTAAGAGCTAAAAATAAGGGAGGAAACCTCATAAGAGATAAGCATAATAAAACAAAACAAAACCACACAATGGCCATGTCAAGAACTGTATGTCTCTTTCTGTTCCTTGAATACATCTTCTCTCCATCGATAGGTAACAAGCTTCATCGCAGGTCCTCTGGAGAAATGTTTGATCATCTTATTGACCAAAATTCTCAAGTCTTTTATTCTATATGGGTATCCTTGTATAAATTGTTCTCCTTGTTCTTCTTACTTTCCCCTACATCAGTTCATATTACACATATTTGTCTGAAATTAATTTTCATCATAAAAACATTACATTATATTCATATGCCCCAATTTGTTCAGCCATTCTCCAAACTGATGGACACCCCTCACCTTTAGATTCTGGATGTCTGCTTTTCTTTATAAAGAATACATTTTAATAACAAGAGACAACATGCAGAAGGGTATGGTGGCCAGGGAGTGAGTTGGCAATTTAGATGTGGAATATCACAACCATAATCAGAGCATCCAAGAAAATGGCTTCATCATGTGTTCCACAAGTTTTATGCTCTGATTATTCTTGGAGCTGATTATTCAGAGAATATTCTGGAGGAATTCTGCCACCATCTTGTATCCCTCAAGCATATGTCTCTGAGAAGCTTGAAGCACTGTATTATCCAACCTACAACTATTTTGTGAGGGGGTCCTCAGGTTGTCTTATTGTGTTACACGTTACAGGGTCCAAATTCACTTAATATTGGATATACTAGAGTAGAAACAATATGACTCTTCATCAGGTTTTAGAAAAGATTTCTGCATTGGATAGAAAATTGGATTAAATAGATGCTGAGGTCCTTTCTGATTCTAGGAGGGGTGGGATCTGAACTGGGCCTGTAAAGAATTGATAGGATGTAGAGAGGTGGGATGGGTTGGTGGGAGGAGAATTTCAGGTAGCAGGAAAAAGGATGTGGGACCAGGACAGTGTGTATGTGTTAGGGGCAAAAGATGGGGGGGAAAGAGCAGAGGAGTTTGATTGTCATAAAATATTTGTTTTGGAGAGTAGTGGGAGATAAGATGGAAAAGGTAGTTTAGGGGAAT